AAATATATTTTGTTTTTGTTTAATGTTTTTATATTTTAATTTTTTTTGTTCTAGATGTTTATCAAAATACACAAACTGTTCGATGTAATTATCCTGTTCATATTGAAAATGGTTTTATTACTGTATATAATGTTACTATTTGGGAAGATCAAACATATACAGGTACAATTACTTATGAATGTAATTATGGTTTTGAAACTGTATATGGACGTGATCAAATTATGACTGAATGTTCAAATGGTATATGGACAAATGTTACTAGTTGTCAAGGTAAATATGAAATTAAAATAAATCAAAAAGCAATTTTTTTGTTTTTAGAAATTCCAACATGTCCAAAACAAGATTTACTTGATATTGAATCTCAAGTTGAAAATTCATATGTTTATAATGGTAGAATTCATAGAAAACAAAAAAAACAATATTATTTGATTTTCATTTAGTTTCACTTCAGTATATTCGTAATCCATTAGCATTTGTTTATAGTTCATATGTTCTTCGCACTTGTTTACCAAATTTCGAACATGATCCATTAAGTCCACCATTGAAAATTCAATGTCAACGTGATACTCATACATGGACTGGAATACCAATATGTCGAAGTAAAATAAAAAGCAGTTTTTTTTCATTTATGTTATCTTTTTTTTTTTCATCAGAAATTGAACCAATGACAACTGAAATGACAATAACTGAAAATAATGAACCATCAATAGAAATTGATAATTTAATAATGTTAAAAGAAAATTCTACCAATAATCAATCTCAGACAACAATAGAAACAGAAAGCAGTACTATTGTATTTGATACGACTCATACTATTGTTTGCTATTCAAATGAAATTCCATACATTCCAAATTCAGTTATAATTCAATTACAATCAAATATAACATATGATGTTGGTACTACTCTAGTATATGAATGTCAACCAGGATATGAATCTTTGTCTAATCAATCAAGTTTTACGACTTGTTCTATGAATGGAACGTGGTCTATCGATACAATTAATACAACAATGTGCCAATTGAGTAGTATCACTACTGAAGAAACTTTTTTCAATACGTCGACAGTTCCATCAAACATAACAGATGAGAATAAAAATATTACTGTTAATCTAGATGAAAATTTACCAATTATGAATTTATCAAATGAAACATTAACGTCAGAAATACGTTCAATATCGGCTGGTGATCGAGAAGTACTTCATATTATTTCATACTGTAAAGAATTACCTCAAATTGAACATGCTCAATTATTACGTGATGATACAATAAAACATAATTTTAATAATGAAATAAGTTATAGTGGTTCACTTGAATATATTTGTCAATTTGGTTTTATAAGCGAGAATAATAAAAACGAACCATTTCAAGTAACTTGTCGAAACGGTGTTTTTTATCCGAAAATATTTTGTATTGGTAAGAAGCTTTTTTTTACTTAAAATAGATTGTTTTTCTATTTGCTTTTTCTTCAAAAAGAAAAACCTCGTTGTTCACTTCCACCTTCAATTGATATGTCTAGAAATACAATTATTAATTCTGCAATAAATGTATTTGATACATCAACTAATGAAGCTATTCCTGGATCATTTATTCTTTTAAAATGTTTTGATAAAAATAATGATGAAAATTCAAATTTTAATATAACTTGTCTAGAAAATGGTCAATGGTTATTACCACCATCATCTTGCATTGGTTTGTATGAAATTTAGTTAATAATTTCATATTGATATTTTTCTAGTTCCATTTCAACGTCGATGTCAAAGTGGAATTACTATTCCAAATGCTCGAACACGAATCAATGCGAAATTAACTACGGATGGTTATTACAATGATGGAAGCCGAGCTGCATATCAATGTCTGGAAAATTTTGTTCATGATCCTCAATCAGGTCCAATACATATCCAATGTAAAAATGGCCGATGGGGACCGCGACCAAGATGTATTCGTATGTATATAGAATTTCTTTTAAAGTTTATTATATTCTATTGATTTATATAGCAAATGGTTGTACTGAACCAATGTCTGATACAATTGAAAATGGTTGGAAAAGTGCTGAATCTTTTATTATATATAATGATATTAAATATTATAAATTAACAAGATATTCTTGTCGTGAAAAAGCAATTTTAGTTGATTCATCATCTCGTGTTATTGATATTGAATGTCGAAATAATAAATGGCAATATACATCTTTACCTGCCTGTCAACTTGAAGAATAAATTAACTTTTATTTAGATGAAAATTGAATTACAAAAAAATAAACTATGTTAACTTTCTATTTATATTAAATGTTGATTTGTGCTCGTTGTAGTTTGAAAAATAGTTGAAGAAATAAATTCATTTTTCCTTGAAAAAGAAAAAGAATTTTAGAAATAATTAATACATGTTTGTTTTGATTACTTACTTATAAGTTGTAATTCGATTTTAAGGTAGACAAATGGATAATAGAATACCAAACCAAATAAAATTATAATGGCTGCAATAAGAAATCCAAAACTTGGAGATACAATCAAAGGAACAAGAACTAAGTAAATTGAAATCAATATAATAATGATGATTAATGGAATTGGTATCTAAATATTAATTGTTGTTTGTAGTTTTATTTCATTAATAAAATACAATAACATACACTAATCGTTCGTGGTGCATCTTTTTTTGTAAATTTACAACAAAGTGTAGCAACAAATACTAAGCCATAGAAGATCCAACTAACAAAACTAACAAAATCAATTAATCCATAGATATTACTTGGAATACAAAACATAATTGCTAGAAGAGCCTTTAAAAAATGAAATAATAAAATCATTATTATTTAAAAATTAAAATAAATGATACAACCTGTAGAACAACACCGGGTATTGGTGTTAATCGTTGTGTTTGAATACATGCAAATACTTCTGGTAAATATCCATATTGAGCACCAACCATACAATATCGAGCAGCTCCAAAAAGATTTCCATTAGCACTGCCTAATGCACTGATAGAAATTAGAATAGGTAAAATACGAACAACAGGACCTAATACAGCTTCACCCCAAGTCTATATAAAATTGCTAGATTGAATATACAATAGATTGTGTTTACATACGACAGCAACAGCATTAGAACTAAGTAATTCTGCTTTGTTCATCACAGTGAAATAAGAAATATTAATGCAAACATAGAGCATAATAACAATAGGTACAGCTAATGAAATAGATAACCATAAATTTCTAAAAAAATAGGAAATTTATTTATTATACTTAGTTTAAAAATCAAATATACCTTTTAGGATTTTTCAGTTCTTCTGTTACTGAATTCAAAGAATGCCATCCACCGTAAGCAAATAAACCTTTATAAAATGCAAGTGCAACACCGAATGGTTTATTTGTTGTGTCTAATCTTAGCAAAATATGCTATCATTTCTTTGATCATTATAATAAACAGTATCTTACCAGCAAAACCATTTTTTAAATTTTGTGTATATCCTACATAGAAAGTACCTTTGAATGTCTTAGTTTATGATTCAACGTAAATAAAAACAAACCTTGTCCAATTCGTACAAAACCAATTATTGCAATTGTCAACATAGTCAATACTTTGCAAATCACGAAAACAATATTCAAACGATTAGCTGCTGATACACTGATTGAGTTAATATTCATAAGTATTACTAGAAATAAATCATATAAATATTGCTAGTCCAAGTTTACGATACACATACAAATAATGAAAATTGCTAGCATTTTAACAAGTTCTTCAGATGGTCCACAATCTAAATATTCATTAAGATTTAAAATACTCATTCATATTTAGATATTAGTTTACTAATCATAATGCCAGATAAAAAATATCGAGAAAAAGTAAGAGATAAAACGGCAATAGTCGCTGGCTTAATAGTAAATATATCTGCCCAGACAGACAGATATGCTAATATATCTCCTGTTCTTTCATGAACTGATCCAATACCTATAAATAAATGTTAAGTTATAAACAGAATATGGCTTCTCCATTTTTCTTCTTCTATATCATACCTTCCTTCATATAAGCTACTTCTGCACCATTTCTTGGTATCACCGTACCAATCTCTGCAAAACAAAGTGCCGCTAAAAGAGATATAAATCCACATGCCATCCAAATAATTAAACATAATCCAACTGATTGTGTTTCTTGTAGAACACCTTTTGGTGAAACAAATATACCAGAACCTATTTATTTTTAAATAATTATAGTTAGAATTGTAGGAAAAAAACATGAATTTTTAAACAATTACCAATGATGATACCAATAATGTAACAAACTCCAGAGAATAAACCAAGATGTCGTTTAAGTGCAACATCATCAGTTGATGTACGTTGATGTTTAGTAGTAGAAGAATGAACATGACGATGATGAATAGAATCAGCATCCGCTAGAAAAGAAGATAACGAAACAACAGTTCATTTTTACAGTAGTAAAAACATAATTACTTTATATTATTATGTTTCCGTAATCTATACAAAAAAACTTACCAACAGTTTGATCAGGTAATGTGTTGAATAGCATACTAATTTAGAAAAGGACACTTGTAATTTTACATATTGTTTGAATTATGACATTTTCGTTCTTCAACATTTATTATAACAGAAAAAGATTATAAGACCTTTTTCTTCTTATCTGTAATCTCTGTAACCGTATCAGTTATATGTTATTGGTAGAAAAATGATCTTTATTATATAAATTGATAGAACTGAATGTAATCTTTTCGTTTTCTTCAGTATATTTAATTTAAATCTATATTAATTAACAAATGAAGATATTTCGTAAATTTTGAGTATTTCTATGTATAAAATATAGATAAATTATCAACAAGATTCGATTGATTGAAGTGCGTATTAGTAAACTAAAACAAATTGATTTTTACTGTAGAGATAGATACTTAAATGTTTCTCACAGGAGAGCATATAACTTGAAATAAACACCAAGCGAAAATAAATAACTTTGTTCTTGATCGATACGAATTGGAAAATATTCAGAAGCAATATATCATGAAAACGAAAGGTTTACTACTCGAACTAGTGTTACTTCTTTCAGAAAAAGGCCAGCGAATCCAGAAGATGAGCGTTACTTGTACTTATTATAAAAATATACGACCATTTTTAAACTAGCTTGATAAAGAAGAAAAAATTCGAAAGGCCTTCCCGTTACAATATTTATTATTTATGATATATATATTTTTTCCTTTTTTTTTGTTTATTTTCTTTTTTTCTCTTCTGTTTAATACAAAATAAAATTTAAAAAAATTATTCTATTCTTTATTGAATAATAACTTTATGCATATCTATTTATTCAAAATTATTTTTGTTGACTTGCAAAAGTGAAGAAAACGTTGTTTTTTGTGCTTGTAGAGTTTTCGCAATTCTTCGTATTCATGAATTGTGAGTTTCCTAGGTGGTTAAAATTTTGGGAGTATTATGGATGCCCTCTGTTCTGTAAATTTCGAATGTAGAGTTTATGTATTCTGCCTTTGTTATTTCTTATAATTGTAATATGGAGGAATGGTTCAATAATTATCTCACAAGCTTAGATCTTATGGATTCAAAAGATTAGTGAACAAAAGAAAACATATTGCAATGATATATAATATATTCAAAACTTTAAGAGTATTTGTATGAATTTTGCTAAACAAAATATATACAGAAAGTAAAGACGTCATAAACGTTATTGTTAATTTTCCTAACGGCATAGTAACGGTGTTTTTCTTCCAACATCAGCAGATATTTATTACCATCTTTTTTTATGTAATACACAGTATTCTTTGACGATGTAATTTCCATTATTCTGATTATAATAGACGAACAACGTTGCACAAAGATTCTTTTCTAACGTTTCTTTATGAAGAATACCAAATTAGCTTGCGATAGTTTTTGTGTTGTGTACACATTTTATATTATAGCAACGCAGAACGGAAAAAAAGAAAGAACAGACACCATGTTATTGGACGGGATATATTTCATTTGAAGATAAATTGATTTATTTCGTAAAGCGTTTTTTATGTTATCATATAGAATTAAATTAAACTTAAAGTACTGGCATATTATAAACAAGTAAAGTGATTATTTTCTATATAAAACAAGTTTTGAAGATATATGAGTGAATTGCAACTTTTTGGTACAATTGGTGCGAAAAAATGAAAGTGGTTCTAAGCAACTTTTGAGTAGTACATTTTGCTATACTATATGCCTGTATTATGCACAAAAAATTTCCCAACACTTTACCGCATATTAACTGAGATACGACTTACTCAATGTAAATGTACCATAAAAAGCGTTATTTTATTGAAAAACGTCACTCTACATTTTTCAGTATAATGTAAATTTCTCGAGAATGGTACGAGATCCAAGGCTGAATTTTTTACCACTAATAGAACTTTTTGTTTTATACATTCTCTAAAAATTTGAGCTAAATCTGACGACCCGTTCACGAGTTATAAATAAGACAATTTTCAAAAACACCGTCACTCTACATTTTTTTCCAGTATAATGTAAATTTCTCGAGAAGGGTACGAGATCCAAGACTGAAATTTTTACCACTAATAGAACTTTTTGTTTTATATATTCTCTAAAAATTTCAACTAAATCTGACGACCCGTTCGAAAGTTATAAAGCAGACAATTTGCAAAAATCGTCACTCTACATAATTTTCGAAAAAAACGTCACTCTACATTTTTCAGTATAATGTAAATTTCTCTTGAACGGTAAGAGATCAAAGGCTGAAATTTTTACCACTAATAGAACTTTTTGTTTTACACATTCTCTAAAAATTTGAGCTAAATCGGACGACCCGTTCGAGAGTTATGAATCAGACAATTTTCAAATTGTCACTCTACAAAGTGAGTAAATATCTTTTTTTTTTCGAAAGTTCGTTTTTTTTTGTTTGAAATAAACTTGATAAGAGAGAACCTTTTTACATCAGTTTTATAGTTAAAGTGTTGGCTTTCTTTTTATATCATCCGCGCGCTGCCAGCTCTATCATAGGCTGAGCTAGAACTGTGTTTGTGTCACTCTACATAAAAACGAACAAGTGTCTGTTAAACAATGTGACCATTAGATGAACGAACCAGTGGAAATTCAAACTAAAACTAGTTACATATTTCGATAGAGCGTCAAAAACTGTACAAAATAGATTAATTATCTCCTTTTCCTCTTGCCTCTTTATTGTCGAAAAATTTCCTTTTCTTAGCATATGTCATGAAAAAATGACATTTTTTCATCATAAATTTTTTATAACTCAGCAATAACATGAGCTACTGAGCTGAAATTTTGCATGGCAGTGAGGTGTTCCAAGCACTATAACATATCAAAAAATCGTTGAAATCGGCTGGCGCAAACTGGAGTTATTAGCGAAATACATCAAAAATCTAATTGTACCAAAAAGTTGCAATTCACTCATATACACTTTTGTCCTCCACCTGCACATTAATTAAGAAAAAATATTCTATTTCTAAAAGTAGTTTTTTTAAGATGAAGTTTCCTTCACAATCTTACAAAAAAATTAAATCATGATTATTTCTTCCACCATACTGATGAAATAAAAAAATATCTGTGATGTATCAAAAGAAAGAGACATAATTGTAATACAGAGGAATGGTTCAAGAATTTTCTCACTAGTTCAGATCTTACGAATTCAGAGACTCATGAACAAAACCGAACTTATCATAATGATACACAACATATCCAAAACTCTAAAGAGTATTTGGATTATTTTGCTAAACAAAATGTATAAAGAAAGTAAAGACGCCATAAACATTATTGTTAATTTTCCAAATGGGCATAGTGACGATGCATTTTTTTCCAAGAATAACGCAAATTTGTTACTATCCTTTTTTGTAATACAGTTTTCTTTGACGATGTAATTTTCATTATTCTGATTATAACAGGCAAACATCATTGCGCAACATATTTTTTTTCTAATGGTTCTTTGGAAAAAGAATCGAATTATCTTGAGATGCTTTTTGTGTTGTGTACACATTTTATATTATTACAGCATAGAACTAAAAAAAGAACAGTTATCATTCTATTGAACGAGATATATTTTATTCGAACAAAAATGTCGGATTATTTGTAAAAATGAAGTATTATTGAAGTTACTTTATAGTGCTGAGAAGTAGTTTCATTTAATTGATTTATTCCATAAAGCGTTTCTTATGTTGCCATATGGAATTAAATTTAATATAAAGTGGTCTCATATTATAAACAAATAACGTGATCATTGTTTCTACATAAGACAAGATTTTAAGATATACGTATTTTTCTTTTCTGCCTGCACATCAACTACGCAAAAAAATTATCACTCTAGATGCATGACTTGTTCAAAGTTAACCTCTACTAAACAATCCTGACAAAAACAAGTGCATACTTCTTTTCCATCATACTGATGAAAATAAAAAGATTGTTTTTCTTAATATTCTTTTTTCAAAGTGAAGCTCTGATACACAATCCTGACAAAACAAGAAAGTCATGACTAGTTTTTCATCGCACTGATGAATTAAAAAATATCTATGACGTGTGAAAAGAAAGAAATATAGCTATAATATGGAGAATTGGTTCAAGAATTATCTTACTAGTTTAGATCTTACGGATTCAGAGACTAATGAACAATATATTCAAAGCTCTAAAGAGTACTTGCTTTAGCTATGTTAAATAAAATGTATACAGAAAGTAAAAACGTCATGAGAATTATTGTTAATTTTCCTAACAGCATAGTAACGGTGTTTTTCTTCCAACATCAAGGAAACTTGTTACCATCCTTTTTTGATAATACACAGTTTTTTTCTGACGATATAATTTCCATTATTCTGATTGTAACAGGGAAAAATCATTGTACGAAATGTGATTTTTTCTAATCTTTCTTTAGAAAAAAATCAAATTATCTTGGGATAGTTTTTGAATTGTATACAAATTTTATATTATAACAACGTATAACTAAAAAAGAGACAACAGACACCATTCTGTTGAATGAGATACATTTCATTCGAAGAAAAATGTTTGATTATTTGTGAAGATGTAGAATTATTGAAGTTACTTTGTAGTGCTGAAAAGTAGTTTCACTTAATTGATTTATTTCATACAGCTTTTCTTATGCTGATGTATGGAATTAAATTTAATATAGAGTAGTCTCATATTATAAACAAGTAAACTATTTTTTTCATGTAAAAATACGATCGTCAGATATATGTATTTTTGTTCTCCGCCTGCACATTAACTACGGAAAACAATTATCTTTCTAAATACAAAATATTTCAAATTGAAGCTCTATTAGACAATCCTGACAAAACAAGAAAGTCATGTCTAGTTTTCCATCGCACTAATGATTTAAAAAAATGTCTACGATATGCGGAAAGAAAAAAAAAGGAAGAAAGAGAGAGAAAAAGAAAAAGAAAAAGAAAAGAGAGAGTGAGAAAAAAAGAAAAACTGAGAAGGTATTTAATGCTATGTCTTCACAATATATTTCATTTGAAGTTAACTTCTTCTCTTAACTAACATTTTGTTAGTTATGTGGGGGGG